AAAACACAAATCAAAAGCCTTATCTAAACGCCTTATCACAAAAATACACGAAACCAACAACTACTTCTCTACTCTTACACTTATCAATGAATATCACAAAGCAATGCCCATCAAAAAACAAAATCATTTTATCACAATCAATTTCAGGACGAATTGGAACGTCGCATCCGTGAGTTGGACGATGAGCTGGCTGAGCAGAAGCGAAGCGCCGCACGTTCCGAGTCAGATCTGGCTGAACTCAAACGCAAACATCAATCCGAGATCGATAAACTCAAAGCGGATATGTCGCATCTCTACGATAAGCATCAGAATGATTTGGATGAAGAGAAAGAACAATACAATAAGGTCAGATAGGCTAAGCCGTGCCTTCCTTCCAGCCATCTGAATTAAATTCCGTCCCGTCCAGTTCAGCAGCTAAACTGCGAGCAATCGCCTTATTCTTAAATTTTTAGCAGCATTTCGATTACAACTTACTATCTATTATCACGATCACACTCACACAATAATCAGTGTAGAGTTGATTGATCGATTGATTGATTGATTGATTGATTGAGTTACGAAGGTTGTTTTGATTAACAATCTATTATGATTGTTCTATTCAAAAGATAAACGCTCATTCAGAATTTGGATGCAATTAAAGTGGTCGAAGATGAACTCCGCGATCGGCTGATCATTGCCGAAAAGAAACTCGCCGAAGCACAAAANACTGAGCTGGAACGTGAGAACAGAGAGTTGGATGAGAAATATCAAGCTTTAACAAATCACATTCATAAATTCAAAGACGATCTGGATGAGGCTCGAAATGAAGCTGAAAAAGTTTGTTGTCGTTTCTCTTCTATGCCACCTTCTTCATTCCACCATCTCAAATCAAAACCCAAATCATCAATACCTCTCCCACTCATTCACCATCCTATCCCAAACCTATAAATAACAACAATAATCCAAAGTACCACATTCCAGGAGATTCAAAAGTGGAAAACCGATGCGTATTCGGTTCGATCCGAAATGAAGGCCATCGAGGCCAGTAACTCGGCCATGAAAACCCAACTTGCGGCCGCTAACGACCGTTGTGATTCGCTCAACAAAACAGTCAACGATCAGAACGCCAAAATACGAGAATGTTCGTTTGCTTTGCTCTTATCATCCAACTTAACCTATCCCATGCCATCAATCAATAAATCAACCACCCAAAATTACAGTCAACAACCAGATTCGTCACCTCGAAGAAGAGCTATCCGATGCCAAGTCACTGCTCTCCTCAAGAGATGCCGACCTACAGAGCGCTACCAATCGTATGCATTCACTTGAGGAACAATTCGCTGCCTTACAATTGGAACACAGTAAAACTCGAACTGAATTCGATACTATGCAACGTGAGAATGAAACGCTCAAGGTTCCTTTCTATTACTTATTATTACTATTACTCTTTTTGCCATTACTATTATTACTATTACTCTTTTTGCCATTACTATTATTACTATTACTCCTTTTGCCATTACTATTATTACTATTACTATTATTACGACCATATATAAAATCAGTCTTAACATTATCATTAATCTTATAATGATCTTAACTAAATATGATAATCACTACAAACAATTCAACTGCTTTCTGAAGGGAGTGAATACATCACAAGAAGGTGAAATCGAACGTCTCAAGAAAAAATTAGCACAAGCCGAACTAACGCTCAAAGAACAGAAGAATGCACTTGATCATATGCGTTCTGAGGTAACTAATTAATTAATTAATTAATTAATTCATTACGTAATCCGTACTCATTATTACTCTTATTGTTACAATTACCGTAAACTTTCAGCGTGAACGCCTGCAAAACGCTTATCGTGAGAAAGTGAAGCAAACCGATCACCTCAGCCAGCTAGCTCAATCATTCGATGCTAAACTCAGTAAGATGCGTCAAGAGCTACAGGACAGCTCTGACAAGGTAGGTATCCATTCGTGCTCTATGCCAATCCTTACCTGGATTACCTGGATTGGCCTTATTACTTATTACTGCCTTATTACTATTACTACTACAATTGCATTCCATTCCCTTCACTTCATTAATTGCAGTTCATCGCGGCCGATAGCGAACGAAATGCGTTACGTTCTGAGCTGAGCAAATTACAAGAGGAGCTACAATTCGGTAAAGACCAAATGGTACGTAAAACTGACGAATTTCAATCATCACTCGAGGATCTGGCGAATGCACACCGAGCTGCTGAGGACGGACGCTTGAATGCGTTGCAAGAGCTTGAATCGCGTAAATACGAGATCAATGACTTACAAGTAAGAGTTATTTGCCATTACCATTACTATTTAAGACACTATTTGTTTCTTAATCTCACAAACACTTTCTTTGCATTCTAAGATTACTCATTATCAGTCAATTTTGTGGACGACATAGTAATATACAGTTTATCACTGCCTTTCAAACTGCTCATTGCAAAGAATAATACTACTTAACAAATACTACTTAACAAATACTACAAAGAATAATAATACTAAGATTCAACTACTTAACACACTCATCATTAAAGGCACGTTTGGAGAACGCCGAACAACGTCTAATATCGCTGCAACAAGAATACATCAAGGCAGACAGTGACCGTGACATTCTTACCGATGCACTACGCAGATTCCAGTCTTCTGCCAATCGCGCTCTAACCATGAATCGTTTCAGGCAAACCATTATCACCCAAGACATCAATAGAGCTGATTCGGTTCGTCTCTCTCTCTCTCTCTCTCTCAGTGATGATCACTCTCTAGATTTCAATGAACATGTCATTAATTCAGGATGATATCAATCTTGAACAGCCCGATGAGCCAGACTCAGGTCCATTCCACTCAGTTCCCTTCCCACCATCAGTCGACTATCCATCCGGAGGAGGACCCGGAGGTGGTTTACGAGCAGGAGGTTGCTTGCTTATATTCACATTCACTTCAACACTTTAATACTCTATAAATCGCCTTATGAAGTTAGCGCTAGCTGTGCAAAGTTCGCCTCTACCCACCAGTCGAATTGTCGAGTGGTGAATCTTCTTCCCGATAGTGCTGTTTGATAACAGCTGCAATTTAACAACTACCTATACGCATCTATTTTACAGGTACAACCACAATAAATATCGGTGATACTCTTGACGTTAATCAGCTCGAAAACACTCTTCAGACTTTGATCGGTCGCATTGAGAAATTAGAACGTGAGCGGGTATGTGAAAGCTTTATCTCCTCTTATCCATCCTAATCATGCTTTATAAGACAACTTAAATAACTAATCACTCAAATTCAGAATGAGTACCGTGAAACATTGAATCGCCTAAAGAAAAAGACGAGCGATACTCACACGACGATTAACGAACGCGAGACCAGATACAAGAGCATCGAAGAGAATCTCACGGATCTCGAAGATGAAAAGCGTGCTCTCGAGTCCAGATTGCAGTCTGCTAAACAACTTCTTCGATCGCAAGAAGAAGCCTTAAAACAACGTGATGACGAACGACGTCAAATGAAGTCCAAAGTGGTGGCGACCGAACTCCAAGCTCGTGGTAAAGACGCTCAACTCAGACATCTCAATGTATCTTCTCAATTTTTATACTTACTTTTTCATCTACATTCCAATCACTTACTTACAAAC